AGATACTTTCCTATGCTGGTGTCTGAATAAATGAACGAATGATCCTTTATCTACTGTAGCTTTCTCAAGCTGTAATAAGTGTCCTCTTAATAATTCATTGGGTGAATCACATTGGGAAATCAAATTATTTTAAATGTGGTCATTTCTGTTCAATTCAATTCAATGCCTACTATGCCTCTGATACTGTGCTAGGTAATAGAGACACAGAATTGGAAGGGATCTCTACAGACATCTAGTCCATATATAGCTAACACACCAGTGACACAAAGACAAAAGTAAAACTGCCATTGCCTCCAAGGGGCTTGCATTTTACTGAAGGCAGGGGACAACGTGCACACTGCCAAGGAAATGTGGAAAATCTAATAATAAGTACAAATAAATTCCTATAGGTATGGGGAAACGTGAAATAACTGGAGAGAGAAAAAGGGCTTCATAGGGACGATGACCCTGCGTCTGATGTCGTGTTGAGAGAAACTGGAGATTCCAGAGGTGGACATGAAGAAGAAGAGCACTGAAGGCCTGGGGCGCAGCTGTGTGTGCAAAGGCTGGAGTTGTTCTGTGTATGAAACAGCACCGTTGACTTGTCTGAAACTAGACTGTGAAGGAGAAGTCAAGAGCCACCATCTAGAAGAGGCTGGAGTCGAACTGTGGGGGCCTTAAAGTGCCAGATAGAAGTTTGTATTTGATGATAGGCACAACAGGGAAATGCAGAATGGGGAGGGATATAGTCAGACCTGTGCCTCTGGGCTACTGGCAAGGCTCTCTTTGGTCAATCAATGTCCTTGAATTATGGCGCTCATGGTCATATTTGTCCATACCGCATTTTCTACAGACAAGATACACTTGTTAAACCAACCAGGAGGCCAAGGGCACCAGCAGGTTGCCAAGTGGGGCCATGGCAGGTAAAATAAAGCCTAAGTTGAGAATTAACTAATGTCAAGCAGAAGCAGGGGGAGAGGGGGAAGAAAAGATCTAAGCCAGGGCTGCATCTTGGTTCCTTCTTACAAACCATAGCAGGTCTTCAATTAAAATGAAGTAAGCAGTTCAGCCCCTCCCCAGGCCTTTGTGAAGAGGCTGCTGTGTTCAGAATGTTGTGCCATACTTAGTGCAGAGATGAAGGAGGAATGGGCTACTCCCTTACAGGGCCATGGGCTATTAACAAAGACAAAGCAAAAACACCAATCAGGGGCACCTTGGCAGTTTTAGAAAGACCCAAGGTTCTCTGGGCATGCTCAGAAACAGCAGCCGAGGAGAGGATCTGGCCCACAGCAATCACTTAAGAACTACTTGTTGACTGAGTAAAGACCCGGGTTCAAATCTCAGCTCTGCTGTTTTTCAGCTATGTCACCCTGACCCAATCACATCCCTTCTCTCCTTGTTGGTGAAATGAAGTGACTTGACGAGATCATCTCTAAGACCCTCCTAATCAGCTCATAAATGTCTGAGTCCAGTTATCGGAGTCTGCCCAGCCTTTGCATGGTAGAATGAAGTGGAAGGCTAGAATTCCCTCCAGTAGAATGAGCTCTTGTCCAAGTGGTACCTGGCCTTGGTCTTCGGCCTCCCTCTGCGTTGTCCGCTCTCTCTTGAATGTGCTCAGTGGGTTTCCCATTCTGTTGTTTTCTTCTGTTTCTTCTATTTTGACTGGATGAGTGACTGATCCACTGAGGACAGATTGCCTGTGTCAAGTTTCTGACCACAAATGGGAAATGCCAAAATATGGAAATATCTCACACATGTATGTACATATATGTGTGTGGGTTCCTGCATGTGCACGTGTGTGCATGTGTGTGCACAGGTGTATATCTGGGTTAGTGAATACCTGCACATGGGTCTTACGGGAGCACCTGAGTCTCTGTGTGTATCTCTTCTCATGATCAATGTACAGCTTTGAACCATCTTGATTTCTCCCTTTTTTAAACTGAACTATTGCCATCTGCTAATGAAAGTAGAGTAACGTTCCTCCTGTGGGGCAATTCAGCTTTTTTATCTGTAGGCTCAGAAAAAGCTTCAGACACTTCAGGTAAAAGCACAGAGTGAGTTGTAAAAACAATCAATGCACAGACTGGGTAATTTGCAAGGTTGTTGAATAAATTCAAGTTTCTTTTGAAGTTGCTGAGGGCTAGGGCATTAATCGAATAGAAGAAGCATTCATTAAGAGCTGACTACATGCAAAGGACTGCTCTAGAGATATGAAGACACAAATGAAACAGTCTCCACTCTCAAGTAGGTGCAGGGACGGCCAATAAATCTGAAGTGTGGGTGAAGAAACCTAAAGCGTTGCAAGAGGTAGGCAGAGATAACCAGTGTGGTGTGGGGTGGGGGCTGGGGTCAGAAATTAAGAAGCAGCAGCCTCCTGCAGAAGGAGGTACCTTTCCTGGGGCACGTTCTGAAGGTAGTGTGGGATTCTGTGAAGCAGAGATGAGGACAAACATTCTGGGGACCCTGGGCAGAGTTACCCATGTGGTCAAGGGCACGCCAAGACCAGGGTATGTTCAACAGTCCAATTAAGCCTGGAAAAGTAGGCAGGAACAGACTATGAACAGCTTTCCGGGGCAGGCTGGGGTTTGGCATGTCCTCAAGGCACCAGGGAGCCATGGGACAGTTTCATTTAGGGGAGAACATAATCAGACAACACAGTCAGACCTGTCATGGATATTTTTTAATCCATCAGTGGGCCAAGCTTTGACTCAGGCACTTTTCATGGCTCAGGCCTGGAATCTTCTCTGATGAATGAAGGAAAAACGGGCCAGTGTTTCTGAACCCAAAACCAGGACTTTATACCAGAAGTGTCTGCTTAAGATTCAAGGCATCTTAAGACATCAGGTCGTCCCACTGGATAGTTACCCATGTGCCCAAATACAAAGATCCTCCCACAGGAGGCTGCTTCTTCATTGCTTTACATGTCTGTCTTTGGCCTATGGAGACCAGGGTCAGGGGCTGGGGGACTCATCTGGCACCAATTCCTCTCATTTCCTGTGACAAACTCAACACTTCCTTATGGACAGGAGAGCCCAACTGAATCTGCCCCAGAATCCATGTTATGAGTTCTCAAAGGGCAGTTAGGGAGTGGAGTTTTTGATAGATTTTTTAAGAATTTTCTTTAAAGATCTTTATCCCATCCAAGGACCAGTAGATGTCTGAGGGTAGAAGGGACTTTGTGGCACTTATCAGAGAAAAAGGACGCTGCCATGTGTATTCTACTCTATGGCTAGCTAACTAGCTGTCGAGCCTTTGGCCAGTCTTCCTAGGCCTCATCTGTACTTGTCTTAAATTACTTAAGGATAGAAACTGTGCCCCTCATCTCGGTACCCCCCGTAGCATCCAGCACATATGGGGTCATGGAAACAGTCTTGAACCTGGGGTCAGGAGAGGTGTACATCGTGGATCTTGAGCTGGAAGAGACCTTGAAAGTCACCACATCCAGGCCCTTGGTTTATAGAGGAGGAAACTGAGGCCCAGGTTGCTGATGTGACTTGGACATATTCATTCAAATCTTAGGGGGCCAAGACAGAGCCTCTATCATCCCAGCCAGTGTAGGCTGATGGGCAGGCTGGTGGGCATCCTCTCTCCAACCCTTACTGGCTGTTAGACCAAGGGCAATCAATCAGTGAATCATATTTGTTCAGATCCAGCTGCATGCTTGGGCAAGAAAGATCTACTGGCCTCGAGGAGCTTCCTATGTTGATGCATGGCACTGTATGCAACATGTATATGCAGTGTAAATATGAGGTAATTTCATGGCTTGAGGGGAACAAATGCACTGCCAGCTGGAAGGATCAGAAAGAGCCTCAGGAAAAAGAGGGCATGTTCAGAGCTGAACTCTGAGGGAAGTGAGGGATTCTGGGATAGCTTAGGTATGGCAGAGAGCCTGTGGAAAGGCAGGGAGATGGCAAGTGGAATCTTGTGTGGGAAGAACAGCTCAAAGGATGATCTCACTGGCCATGGAGTGCATGAAAGGGAGTGATAGGTAATAGTTCATGAAGGGCTTCAGATGCCAAATAGAGATGTTTGCATTTGATCTTAGGGGTAATAGGGGGCTACTGAGCTTCCTAAGCATAAAAGTGACATTGTCAGGTAACTGAGCCTCAGTCTCCATAACTGTGCAATGGGGGCAATAATGCATCAGGCACTCAGCGCACCAGGTACTTGTGAGGAACACATGGCATGATGTATGAAGAATATTCTGTGCCATGGTCTTCACAAAACACCTCTAGACCTCAATGTTGCCTCTTCTTGTTACATGTTATTAGTAACTCAGTAATTTGTTGTCCAATTGAAGCGAACGGGAACAAAGCTGCTCCCCAGAAAAATTCCATCCATCCTTTAGTTAAATGTTCCCATTCCTGCATACCCTGCACTTCATTAGTGGCCGATCCACAGAGAGGGTTTGGGGAGGATTGTTAGGTAATTTTGCATGCAGAATGTGCAGAATTATGTGAGCCATTATCAAGCCCTGGTTAATACCGGGTAAACACTTTAATTTTTGGCAGCATCCACAGGACATGACTGTTCTTCCCCAAAGTCTTAATTGCATAAAAAAATAAATGAATAAATAAAAGTGATGTGCTAAAAGAAATTAACTGCCCAGAAGAGGAACATGCCTGAAGGAGCTGAGGGGCTCACCAGGGGCCATTATCTCTGCCAATGCCTGAAATGGACTTGGTGGGTGGAAGCCAGAAGTGATAGATTTTCAATGTGACTAATCTCTAATGCCCTTTATGAGCAAAGATCTTGTAATTACCCCACATAAAAATACAAGAATAAAGGCAAATGCATTTATAATCACAAAAGGACAAGAGAAAATGTAGCATCTTCACTGCACATGCCATCTCCCTAATGCCCTAATCTATGAATAATAGATAGCCATGCAGACTGTCCCATCCCAGGGTGTCCCATACAGGAGAAGACGTACTCTCTGGCCACTTGGCAATAACTCTCTGAATGTTGTCAGGGCCCAGTGAAAAGAGAGCATTTCTGCTAACCTGTATCCTGTTTTACAGGTCCCTGGGGCCGATGCATGGGAGACGAATGTGGTCCAGGTGGCATTCAGACCAGAGCAGTCTGGTGCGCTCATGTGGAAGGCTGGACAACACTGCACACAAACTGCAAGCAGGCTGAGAAGCCAGACACCCAGCAGGATTGTTTCAAAGTCTGTGACTGGCACAAGGAGCTATATGACTGGCACCTGGGCAGCTGGAACCAGTGCCAGCCTGTCATGTCCAAGAGTCTGGTGAAGCCAGCAGAGTGCACCAAGGGTGAGGAGGGCATCCAGACCAGAGAGATCGCCTGTGTCCAGAAAGCCAACAGAATCAGTGCTGATGACAGCATCTGTGAGTACTTTGAGCCCAAGCCCCTCTTGGAGCAAGCCTGCCTCATCCCTTGCCCACAGGACTGCATTGTGTCTGACTTCTCACCTTGGTCTGAGTGCTCCAAGACATGTGGGAGTGGGCTGCAGCACCGGACACGGCACGTAGTGGCCCCCCCACAGTATGGCGGCTCTGCCTGCCCCAACCTGACAGAGTTCCAGATCTGCCAGTCCAGTCCTTGTGAGGCAGAGGAGAGCCTTTACAGCTTGAATGTGGGGCCCTGGAGCACCTGCTCCATGCCTCACACCAGGCAGATAAGGCAGGCGAGGAAGCGAGGGAAGAACAAAGACCGAGAGAAGGACCGAGAGAAAGGAGTGAAGGATCCCGAAGCCCGGGAACTCATCAAGAAAAAGAGGAACCGAAATAGGCAGAACAGACAGGAGAACAAGCACTGGGACATCCAGATTGGCTATCAGACCCGGGACGTCATGTGCACACACAGGAACAGCACAACTGTGGCTTTCAGGTAATGTCTTTGTTAATCTACCCGCCATATCAGCTTGATGGGCAGGCCAGTCAGAGTCTAGGTCTGAACTACAGGGAACGGCTACATGAGAAAGACTTCTTGTGACCAGGCCAACTGGTCGGGTGAAATGAGCAGTCAGTCCTGAGTTAGGTCCAGAGCCTCTGTATCAGTCAGCAGGGTTAGCCCCAAGCCTCAGATTCCAATACTGTGGGGTGTGCTGTGGGCCCCACTGATCTCAATTGTGTGGAAGACCTAACCAGCTACTGGTCCATGCCAAGCTGTCCTTCTCCTCTGTATTCTCTGTCTCCCTCATTGTCCCAGTAGAGCATCAGCCTGTCAGGTCCCTGCTGACCAGGGCTGTGGGTCAGTCTCCTATGACCCCAGCCTAAGTCTAGCACTTCTTCTGCTCTCTTCGTACTAAGTCCATGTCCAGCACAGATAGTAATTCCTAAGTCAATAAGTAAAATTGGATTTCTCCCCCTCCGTTCTGGAGAGATAGGAGGAGACTTCAATAAACAAATTTTGCTTTGACTAAATAACAGGACATGAGGCCCATGTAGGGAAGCAAAACCGTGTATGTCCTACCTTCCATCATCCCAAGCAGGAGCTGGCCTGGTGTGGGTGCCAATAAGCCTTTCCCCATTTTAAGTGTGTGATAGATCTCTCCCAAGGTGGCCTCATGCAGAATCTCTTCAGGGAGGAAGAGGGGGCTGAACAAGTAACCTTATGTCTAGGAGAGGGGAAAACTAGAAAGTCACTTCCTGAGGAGCGAGGATTTTGGTGAAAGAAAAAAAATCAGATGCAAAGTTATGAGCATGTAACTATCCCACAGATATTCAGTGGCCTGCACCACAAACATTGGTCCCTACTACCCACAGCTTACTGCCTATACCACAATTATGGACCTTCCAAGTATATGGTGCTGGGCACCCAGAGTGAGCAGACTCTTGTCATCAAATGATCAAGGGTTGAGTTTGCCTTCTCTAGTGAGAGTCTTAAGAGACATGCTGGGACAATGGAGAGAGTAGTGAATTTGAAGTAAGAGGACCTGAGTTCAAATCCTGATTTTGGCACTTCCAATCTGGGTGCCCTTGGACAAGCCCTTGGCAACAATAGCCAGCATTTATATAGTGTTTTGTTGTTCAGTTGCATCCAGCTCTTTGTGACCCCTTTCGGGGTTTTCTTGGCAGAGATGCTGGAATGGTTTGCCATTTTCTTCTCCAGCTCATTTTACAGATGAGGAAACTGAGGCCAACATGGTTAAGTGACTTTCCCAGGGTCATACAGTTAATAAATACTTGAAGCCATATTTGGGCACAGGTCTTCCTGAATCCAGGTCCAATGCTCTATCCACAGCACCACTAGCTGCTTCTCACATAACCTCTTTATGCCTCGGTTTCCTTGTCTTTAAAGTGAAGTGTCTGGACCAGAAGATCTATAAGGATTTTTCTGGTCCCTGGCTGATGATGTTATAAATACGAGTGCTTTACGTGTTCAGTGACACTCATTTGGGTATGCCTAGGGTAACTACTAGACAGCTGAATTTGCTTAAGCCTCTCCTTCCCCAGTCTGAGGTGCTGGGGAGTTCTGAAGAAAGGAGCCCCACAGGTTGATGGCTTGGGCCCCTTCAGGGGAGGGAAGTGTTCTTGGGAGCTGCTGAAACCCCTTTAGTGTTCGAACATAAGACAAAAAGCTCATCTCGTGGAGTTAACGTACCAAGGCCCATAAGTGAGCTGTGCAAGGGGCTCGTGCTTTCCAAATTACCCTATAAACAGAGTTTGCTCTAAATTCAAGCCGAGGGAGATATCAAAGGAGAGATTTCTTACTGATTTTATTGAATGGAATAACCAGCTCTGAAGGAGGAAAGGGGAGCTGCAGGAATACCCATTAACCCTTTCCAGCCCAGCTCCCACCGACCTTTCCCAACTTCAGGACGTGTCACTTGCCTTCACACATTCCATATTGCAGCCCAGGTGGCCCTTTGCTGTTCCTTGTAGGCAGCCTTGCCTCATCTCTCAACTCCATGCCATTGCACAGGCTGTCTGCCATGCCTGTGAAGCCCCTCTTTGGGCACTCAGGGAGAGATTTAATACAGCCTCCCAGGTAGGTCCAGAGCAATTGTTCTCAGGTTCCCTGGTGACCTTTCCTCTCTTGCACACTCCACTTCTGCTCAAGCAGAATGTAACACAAACTGGCTTGTCTTTATCTGGAGACAGAATCCCTTATGGAAGTGCCGACAGCAAATAAACAAGGCTTGAATAGAGTGGGAAACTCCCAAACTGTGCATTTCCAGTTATCTAGACAGTGATGAGGATGGGGAGGAAAAGAGGAAAGGGTCTGACTTCCCCACATCCCCCAGTGCAGCGCAAGGTTCTGGGAAGTCAGATCACTCCTCGCCAAGGAGCTGGCCAAGGAGCCAGCAAGGCTGCAGCTGCTCATGACTGTGTTTGTTGGCCATCGGGGCCTTACCAGTGCACCTCTCTCTGGCCACCTTCTGCTCTGGGTAGAGAGCAACAATCCCAGAGCTCCTCAGATCCTATGAGGCTGCTGTCTCCTATGATCATTCAGTGCCTCTGTCCAGCCTGGAAAACCCCACCTCCCATCAGCCCCTTTCCCAAGAGGAGGCTACATCTGAAATGTAATCTTTCCTATGAAAATTATATTCTTCCTTTAAAATACAGGTTAAGGGTTATCTCCTATGGGAAGCCTTCCCTAAACTCTCTAGTTGTTACTGATTTCTCTCTGTCTCAAAAAATCTCATGTTTACTCCTCATATCTATTTACATGATAGGAAGTGTGATGGAATGGATAGAAAGCCAACATCAGAGTCAGGAACTTAGAATATTTCCTAGGGTCATACAAGTCAATTAGCCTGGGTTCAAGGCTTACTTCCGATCCTCACTAGCTCTGTGACCCTGGGCAAGTCACTTAACTTAGTTCTCTAAGCAACATTCTGAGATTTATACAAACTGCATAGAAGAGGCTGATCTGTATTGTAAAAGGAGTTTCCTCCCCCTGGGGTTTCCTAGACCAGTGACATCACAGGGCACGTCCCTGTCCCAGTCAGGGCTCAGGCTGCACTCATCAGTAGGATGTAAGCTCATGGGGGATGGGGAAAGAGGCAAGGACTCAGTTTCCCTTTTGAGCTTATCTCTGTATTGTTTAACAAGGCGCCTGGCACATGAGGTGTGGGAGGGGTGCTGAATAAATACTTGGTGAATCTAGGAGACTACTTTAGTATAGGTCACAGACTCAGAAACTTAGGATGAATAAATGAGATTTTCTGAGTCTTGGTCATTGGGTCACACTCTTCCTATTACATACATAGTAAGCCCACTTTCTGTCCCAATGTTTTTAGCTGTCCCCTTTCAGTGGCTGAGGAAGCAATGCTCCTCGTCAAAACCGGCTCCCCACTATTTGTGTCCTTGATTCCTTTCTACCTCAGAGAGTCACTAGCTGTGTGACCCTGTGCAAATCACTTAATATCACTGTGCCTCAGTTTCCTTATCTGTAAAATGAGGGAGCTGAACTCGCTGGCCTTTAAGGTCCCTTCCAGCTCTGATCTGTGAAGGATTCCTTCATCACCACTTCATGCTTAAGAAAACAAACCTCCCTTGCCCCCGTCACCATCCAACATCTCTCCTTCGTTTGCTGGCAGAGAGATTCCTACTGGCTAACTTGCTAACCCTTCAGGCCCTTATTGTCAGGCCTCCGACTCCCACACTCTGTAGAAATCTCTTGCTCGGAGCTCAGCAAGGCCCCTTGGTTACTACATTGCTTCATTTTGCCCTTTCCGATGCCAGTCACGTAGTGCTTTCTTGCCCAGTTTCTGTGGCATTGCCAACTCATCATTGTTCTTCCCTGGTTATTCCTTCACTGGCAGATCACGATCTGCCCACCTGCTCAAGCACAGCTTCCTCAAGGCTCTGTCCTTGGGACTCTGCTCTCAGTTGGTGATGCATCCACTTCCACGGCTCCAGTGATGAGCTCTGGGCGATGCAAAGCCATCTCTTCAGCCCTGCTCTCCCTACAGAGCTCCAGGTGTCTGTGCCAGTCGCCTGTCAGACATCTTGATCTGGTCACCCCATTGGTGCCTCAGGAACAGGAGATGAGTTAGTCTGTTGGGTGTAGTACATGGAGTGCTTAGATACTGCCTGAAATAGTTACTAGCTGTATTACCCTGGGCAAGTCACTTAATTCTCTGGCTTCAGTTTCCTCATTGGTTACCAACAGGGAGGTCAGATGCAATGGCTTCTAATGCACCTTCCTGCTCTAAATCTGTGATCCTTTGTCTGTTATCTCCCACCTGTCATCCCAATTGCCCTGTTTCTGTGTATGGCACCCCCATCTTCACCAACACAGAGGTGTGAAACCTGAGTGTCACTGAAGATTTGTCCCTCTCCTTCAGCTTTCACATCCAATCAATTTTGAAGTCTAGTTGATTCTGCCCCCACAGCCATCCTCATCCTACCTCTCAGAATCCTTCTCTGCCTTCGTGGATCTGCTTTGATGCCAGCTCCTCCAAGAAGCCTCCCCTGATGGCCTCCTCTGAAAGTGGTCTCTCTCTCCTCAAATGTTCTCAGACCACTTGGTCTGCATCTCTTTGCCTTAGCCCCCATCACACATGTACTGCTTGGAATGCGTTTATTTGGGCCTAACTTGTGTCCCCCAGAGCAAGGGGGCTCTTTGATGGATATGCCATTTTTCATCTTTGTTTCCCCAGCCCCAGGACAGGGCCTGACACATGGTGGTCACTAAAAACATGGCTTTTCTCCTAGTCATCTCTTGTCCCATGAATAATCTCCTTCACACCATGGCTCTGTTCTAGAGAATGGTTCTGAAAGCATTTGCAGTGTGAGATTTTTTTCTTTCTGATTTTCTTTTTTTCTTCTTTCATTTCTTTTTTCTCTCTCTTTCCTTCCCTCTTCCCCCCTCCCATCTTTATTTTTCTTTCCTTCTTTTCTTTCTCCCTTTCTCTTTCTTTCTTTCCTTCCTTTGCT